AAACCTGAGCCAGTCTTTTTAGGTGACAAATTTGACGAATTGTCGCAGACTGAGGTGTCATTAGGTGAGGGTTTGGAACCAATTGATAAACTTAATAGTAACAAGTCACCGGGACCAGATGGCAATCACCCAAGAGTTCTGAAAAAACTGAAATGTGAAATTACGGAAATGTGGTTTGTAACTAATTCTTTCAATACCTACTGCTCATGATCTCATGGGGTGTTTCACCTTCCTAAACCATGGGATGCTGTTCTGAGTTGGACAACTGAGTAGAAATAGGGCCCACCTGACAAGGAAGGGGAGCAGTGTCTTCAGATGTAGAGTGGTTAATCTAGTGAAGTGGCTTTAAACTAGCCTCAACAAGAAGCAGGAGACCAAAAGCCCACAAATGAAGTCTGAAACACGTATACATGGGTAAAAGATAAGAATCTGGGGGGAAACGTGGGCAGTCCATTATCAGGGAGAAAAGAGAGACAAGGAAATATAGAGGAAAAATCTATTGAACATCATAGATGTCTGTATTATAATGCAAAAAGTATGAAGAATAAACAGGAAGAAGTGGATATAGTAATGAATAATGACAATTATGACATAATTTGCATTACAGAGATTTGGTGGGATAATTCTGCAGCACACTGAAATTTTGGTGGCATAGTAAAAATTTGAAGTTTTTATTGACTCAGAAAAGAAAAAGAATTACACATTAATACAGTAGCCCTGTTTAATTCTGCTTTCAAGGAACTGCAACATTTTGTGTTCATAATGCACAACTTCAATTCAGCCTTTGAGGAAAGTTAGATGGTCTTGAAAACCTGGGCCTTGGGCAAGTAGGAAGGTATGCAAAGTACTTTTTTAACTGGGGGCTAAGCATGTTAATTGGATGTTTCTGCTTGATCAGCGGATAAATAGATAACTTTGTAACATAATAATTTAAACCTTAACAGTCTTTTCAGAGGTATTAGGCAGTTTTCACTATTCTTTATTGCTATCACTAACTCTGGCAGATATCACAACATTTCTTTTCACTTATCTAGCATTTGGAAGGTTTTCTTTGCAGTTCCGATAGCCAGACACATTTTGTTTAATTGAAAGCTGAGATTCTTATGTAGAATTCTGCAGCAATCAGTGGGTTCTGTGGGAAATTAAGTTGTGTTTGTGGAATCAAGAACGTCATATTTATTATAAACGTCCTTGGCAGACCACACAAGTATTGCATAAAGCCAGTTACTATCTAGGTTTGGAGTAAATGCTAGATGTAGAATGTTCGGGGTGTGCGTTTCCTGTCTAGGATATGGAATAGGTCTGCTTTTGTATTTGCACACCAATTCTTCAGCCCCAATACATACCTATATCTTGTTCTGCAGCAGCAGCAATAGCTCAGGTGAGCAAGTGGTACTCAACATAGTCTAGCATGCAGAGTAGCTGTATTGTAACTGAACAGCCTGCTTGGATAGAGGGAGCAAGGTGCATTTGTTAGCTAACAATTTAAGGATTCTGGATATGTAGGTTATACCCCTTGTTCTGTACTTACTCACTTTTGTTACTCCAGATCACACCTTTTTGTGCCATGGTATCTTCCTTTCCAAATGGACATGGTATGCAGACTTGCTTGGTTAAGATTCCTTTTCATCACATTTCCTGCCAATGTCTTCTCATCTTGATACACCCCAACTTCAGGCTCCTGGTCCCCTAAGAACTCCTATAAAATTATACTTCCCTCTCTTGTTGCGTACAAGAGCACATGGAAGTGCAAAGGAGGGGGCGCTGGAGTTTCACTAATTCTTCTGAGAAGAGAGAGGGGTTATGGGCTGCTTCTTTCTGTGAAGAAACTCACAGTCTGCTGCTATTGACAGGGAGAAAGGCCTAAAGCCTCACCCAGAGAATTTTGTCTTAAGCTAGTGGCAGGAAAGGCTTCCCCTGTGACTGCTGCCAATACTTGGAGAAGGATGACTCATACCCAAAGCAAAGTTAGGAAGGAGGTCACTCAGATAACTCAGTAAGAGAAGGCTGGTTATGTTGAGGTTGACCCATCCTTGATGATAATTTATTTGTATTACTAGAGTGCGTAGGAGCTCTAGCCATGAACCAGGACCCCATTGTGCCAGTCTGTGTACAAACACTGAGCAAAGAGGTAGCTCCTGCCCAAAGCCGCTTATAATCTCAGTGTAAGACAAGAATAGAGATGTAGCCATGTTAGGGTACGTCTAGACTACATGCCTCTGTCGCCAGAGGCATGTAGATTAGGCTACCAGGCATAGGAAAATGAAGCGGCGATTTAAATAATCGCCGCTTCATTTAAATTTACATGGCTGCCGCGCTGAGCCAATCTCAAGTTATGTTGGGATGGAACAGCTTCCCAGAAACCAATGGTTTGGTGGAAAGATTTAAGAGGACTCTGAAATACATGCTGGGTAATCTCACAACATTGTCAATGCTCTATGTGCAAAGAAGGGAAGATGGTAGGCTGGCAGCTTTCCGTGCAATTTCAGTGATTTTTCAGAGAGGTGGAAACTTTTATATTTTCTGAGTTTGTAACCTTGGTCTTTGCACACACAGTGTATTTGGTATGGGAGGATTATTTTTAATTTAGTTATTTTGAATGTCTGTCTGTATTTAAAGCAAAATACAGGACTATGCAGCACTTTAAAGACTAACAAGATGGTGTATTAGGTGATGAGCTTTCGTGGGCCAGACTCACTTCCTCAGATTACGAAAGCTCATTACCTAATACACCATCTTGTTAGTCTTTAAAGTGCTGCATTGTCCTGTCTTTTGTTTCTGTAAGACAAGAGACAGTATATCATCATAGGCAAATGGTGGTATACAAGAAAACAATGAAACTGTTCTGATCAATATGACAGGCAGAATGCTCTCAACAAGAGCATAACTGTTCATTATTTTGTAACCGTCATGAGATGTGATTTGAAAGCAGATAATGAAGTTGTTTTGTGAATGTTTATAGGGAGTGTCTTCCAAGCATGAGGGCAGCAGGGACTTCAGCTTGTTTCAAAAATGTTTAATGGACATCTCTTTTTAGTAATATCTGCATAACTGTATCAACATAAAAATGCAAATAACACAAAAATGAAGCGATTGCATTACATTTTGCTCCTTTTCTCATTTTTTTATGCTTCACCTTAGTAATATCCTCCATCCAGCATGAACCCCTCCATGACCTTCATCTTCCAAGCTGTATGAACTGGTGAGGACATGTTCTGTTGGCCTTATGGCACTGATAACAAGGAATTCTGCCTATTGCAAACTAAAAACATAACCTTTAAAAATCTAGCTATACAGGAGATAGTTAAGTGCTCTTAAATGGAGAGCTCTGTCAATATCTTTGGCAAATTATTTCCCTTCCTTCATGACTACTTTGCTAAATAATTCCTTATTCTGCAGCTACTCAGGTGGTGGACTTAAATTCTTTTTTGACTCTGCTGTTGTTCATGGCTTGGTTTTGGGTCTCCCTTTGAATGGGCAAGCTAGAAAACTGAACAACCAAAGTTACCTGATAAAGATGTATGCTTATATAACCTTGCTTCTCCATGTTAGTGTTTTAACTGGGAGAAAATTGTTCTCTATTTGAGTAGCTGTGGCATTTCCTTCATTCCCCAGTGAACACTGACTAACCATTCAAAAGGCAATCTTTCATCTGTACTTTCTCTTTAACTCTCTGTGACATTCAAAACCATCAGCTTATGAGAGCCTAGTAACCTTGGGACATAATCCTTTTAAAATAAAGTCCCACCTGACTGATATTGGGCTATATAGAAAAGAACTTGCCTTCCCAGTCCACCAACATAGCTCCCATGAGTTCAGTTATCAGGCCATCAGGGGAGGAGGGCAAGGATGATAGACCTACTATGGAAATCCATGGCAACTAGGGAGTATCTGTGGCTGCTCAGTTAAAGAGGTTCTCTCCGGTGAGTTATTTCTGAAGTTGTTTTCTCTTTGTTTTCCAACTCAGTGTGTGTGATGCAATAAAATCTAGGATCAGATTCTCAAATGATGAAAATGGTTGTAGTTCTGCTGAGTGCAACTAATCCATATTGTATGAGAATCTAACATATATGTAATTTCATCTTGATTTCTATTCTGATTCATCCATACATTCACAACTGCAGAAAGAGCCTATTTGAGCTTAAAGAATTTACTAACAGTATTAGGCCTGTGCTGAAACAGGGATACTTCTTGTTACTGCTTGGAAAGGAGATTGATTTTGTTTTGGATGGAAACATTCTACTGCTTTAAATCATTGCACATTTTGTAAAAGTAAACCAAGTACTGACATGTTTTGCAGAGGAGGTGAAACTGTACCAGTTATAGCTACATAGATCGCACTCAAAGTCATTCACATCAAACTGATATGATTAAAAGAAAAAAATGTTTTTTTGCAGATAAAGTAGGCAAGTCCTTAGGCTTTCATAAATAAATACTAAAAAACATTTAACTGATTCTAAAGCAAGCTGGTAACATTTTGTTCCTTCTTAAACAGTCATGAGATTTGACTTCACATTGGAAAGACATGCTAGTATATATTATGGGGCTTCACATGTTGGAGTTGATAAGTTGTCCCCCTCACCTTTATTTTAACACACACAAAAATATTTTTCTACAGTCATCTGTTTGTCCTACCCTAGATGAATAAGTTGTTCTCTACATTATTCACTGAATAAAAATATGAATTACATTTTTAAAAATACAGTGGTTTCATTTGAATATAATTGTTCATATAATGAAACTAATACCACACATGATTATTTATTGAGTAACTTCTACATTAATCATACTTTCTTTCTCCATGAATTTCTTCTGCTTCAGTTCATTTTAAGACTTTATGCTCTGGTAATGTTAATCAGAATTAATAGAGGTACTGTGTGAAAGGGTGTGTATTCACCACTGAAATGTTAAATTAAATGAAATTTTAGTTGCACAAGCTAGAAACAATCGACACTGCAAAGATAATGGAATACAGATTTACCCTTTACTTTTCCTTGTAGGAGTTTAGTGTTTGGTACATCCTCATGTGCACTTCTGACACAGTCCCACATGACATTCTGAGATGCTGGAGAAATGCAGGATTGACAGAACTACCATGGAGTGGATACATAACTGGTTAAACAACTGTAAACAAAGAGTAACTATTAATGGACTGTCAGAATGGAAGAAAGCCTCAGGTGGGGTTCCACAGAGATCCATTCTAGGTCTCATGATTAACATCATTATTAATTACCTAGGTGTAGGAATGGAGAGTATAATAACTATATTTACAAATGACAAAAGCTGGAAGAGGAGAGGTTGCTTATACTTTGGAGGATAGAGCTAAAATTCAGAAGAATTTTGATAAATTGGTGAACTGGGCTATGCTCAACAAAATGAAATTAAAAGAAGACAATTGTAAGGAAGCAAAACCAAATGCATAAACACAGAATTCGGGGGAAATAGAGGGGAGAAAGTGATAGAGGTGACTTGTTTGGCAGCAGCACTGTTGAGGAGGATCTAGGCATTGTAGTGGATCACAACCTCAACATAGGTCACCAATGTGATACTGTTGCAGAGGAAGCAAATACAATATTAGGTTGCATTAACAGTGGCATAGCATGCAAATCTTGGGAGGTAATAATCAATGTTTCCTCTAATCTTTTATATCCATGTGTGGAATAATATTTTTAAATGCACCAAGGCATGTATGAATGAAGAAATAAAAAACCTGCTGGTGTGTACTCTGCTAATCAGCTGGGCAGCATTTGAATCTCTCTTGAGTGGCCACACATATGCTAGCTTACAGGGAACATTGGTGATAGTACTGTTCTGCTCAGAACTAGTTGGGCCTTAGCTAGAGCTGTGTATCCAGTTTGTCACCAATGTATAGAAAGGACATGAGAAACTGGAAAGGATACAGAGGTGAGCAACAATGATTAAAGAGATGGAATGCAAGCCATATAAGCAAAGGTTGAAGGAACTAGGTATGCTTAGTTTGGAAAAAAGGAGATTAAGGGGAGGAGGGACATGATCATGGTCTTGCAAATATTTGAAAAGCTGCCATGAAAGAGAGGGGGGATATATCTTCTCTCTTGCGGCAGAAAGTAGGACAAGAAGCAATAGGTTGAAATTACAGCATAACAGATTTAGATGAAATCTCAGAAAAAACATCCTAACTGAAAGAACAGTAGGACAACAAAGTAACAGACTATTTAGAGAAGTTGTGGAAGATGCTTCCTGCAGATTTTAAAAAGGAGGCTTGACAGCTGTCTTATATAGATTAGATACAACACATTCTGCATCTTGGTGGGCAGGGGCAGAAGACTAGATGATTGTGGTAGTCCCTTCTAACTCTATGGTTCTATAACATGTTTTATTGATGTGCTGAAAAAAAAAATTTTTCAGGGGCTATTGTAAAATTTTTGTTTCACAGTTTAAAATATTTTCACTTTTTAGCTGTGTAGTTTTCACTTTGGAACACCTATATATGTTCCACGTGTTATTTGCCAAGATATAGTTAGTGATGTACTATTTTAATATTGTATATTAAATTTGGTGTTTTGTCAGATATTTCCCCCCTCATTTGTGTTTATGCTATGCACATACTTACACACATGCATGCGCATAAACTGGAAACAATTATATTGAGATAAGCTCTGAGTTTACATAGTAATGTTAACTTGAATACTTATAAAATTGTGATGCTTATCTAACATTTGCTTCTACCTTCATTACACATCTTCAGTCTTTGAAGAATGCCACTCTACAGAACAGCATTCCTAACAAGCCAAGTATTTTACTGTTTTTTAAATTGATAAAACGTTACATGACAAACTATAATAAAATATGTGCAGCACAAAATAAATGTTTTCTTTCTGCTATACATTGCCAGTAATATCTAGTAAATGTCAATCTCAGAAATTACAGTAAATTTAAGCTATATCGGTTATGTCTGTAACACCCTGTTCCCATGTTCACCACTTTTATATGGTTACAATATATTTTGCAAATAGTACACCTTATGAGGTATTGTTTAAAAACTCAATCTGCGGAACATCATTGCATTGTTATGTGTTTAACAACACTACATGTGAAACTGACATTTTACTGAGTAATATTAATAAAGTGTGTTATGATTCTAGGGAACACCAACAGTTTAGGTCCTCAGCCCCTTAAAACTGTTAGGGTATGTCTACACTACAGCACTAATTCGAACTAACTGAATTTGAATTAGTTAATTCAAACTAAGCTAATTCGAACTAGTGCATCTAGACCTAAAAACTAGTTTGAATTAGCATTTTGCTAATTCGAACTAGCATGTCCACATTGAGTGAACCCTGAACCGAGGTTAAGGCTGGCCGGAAGCAGTGCCGGCAGGGCATAAGATTAGTACTTAGAGCGTGGAGATGCTGACTCAGGCTAGCCGAAGACTGTGCTTAAAGGGACCCGACCCCACCCCGGACAGACAGTTCTCAGGGTTCCCCGCTCGCTTGTCTAACTCAATGAGGGACAGCAAAGCAGTCCTGTCTTGTAGTGCCCTGAATGCCCACACTCGGCACATCACAGCACTTGGCCATCAGCCCGGCTGCACTTCCGCAGGCTGCCATCCAGGGCGGGAGGGTCAATCAGAGGGGCTTCAGGAGAGCTTCCACCCTGAGGAGCCCGCAGTCCTCATCTGGGGCTTGTACCCCATTCCTCCCTCACCTCCTTCCACTTACCCCACCCTAGCCCCCCTTCCTGATGTAAAAAATAAAGGACATGTGTGGTCAAAAATAGAAATTCTCTTTATTTAACAAAATTGGGGGGGGGGATTAACCTCTGGGGAGACTGGGAAAAGGAGGTGGGAGAGGGGAAGAGAGAGGTGGGAGAGGGGAGGGCAACTAAAATGATCAGGGGTTTGGAACAGGTCCCATATGAAGAGAGGCTAAAGAGACTGGGACTTTTCAGCTTAGAAAAGAGGAGACTGAGGGAGGATATGATAGAGGTCTATAAAAGCATGAGTGGTGTGGAGAGGGTGCATAAAGAAAAGTTCTTCATTAGTTCCCATAATAGAAGGACTAGAGGACACCAAATGAAATGAATGGGTAGCAGGATTCAAACTAATAACAGAAAGTTCTTCATCACAAAGCAAATAGTCAACCTGTGGAACTCCTTGCTGCAGGAGGCTGTGAAGGCTAGAACTAGAACAGAGTTTAAAGAGAAGTTAGATAAATTCATGGAGGTTGGGTCCATGGAGTGATATTAGCCAGGGGGTAGAAATGGTGTCCCTGGCCTCTGTTTGTGGAAGGCTGGAGATGGATGGCACGAGACAAATGGCTTGGTCATTGTTTC